CCGTCTTCGCCGGCCTCCTGCGCTTACGCTTCACCCTGAGGCTGTTGTGGTCCTTCCCCGACCCCAGGCCGGCTCGGCCCTCACGTTTGCTGAGCTCATGGGGATGGGGATTGTCGTGGTGTTTTCGCCACTGTGAAGGGAGGACAAAGACTGAAGCTTGAGCTGCTGACTGATTGAGCTGGAGAAGCAAAGGAGAAGGGATAAAAAGCTGCCCCACACTCAGCACACTGGTGCCCTCCAGTGTTTTTGACACCCCTGATCCATTTTTGCTCTCGAGAACCTGCAGACATTAATCCAGTGCCAGCTAATCCCAAAGAGCAGGGGTGGAACACCCTGTGCACTCAGCTGCCCACCCCTGTGACGGCTCCATCCTCACTCCCAACCTCACCTTGACCACAACCCACCAGTCCCAGCGTGTCCCACCCACCTTCCGACCATGCACGCTCCGGCTCCCCGATTTGCTGGGGGATTCCTGGCCATCCTGGCCTTGGCACTTCAATCTCTTGTGGGTCTGCCTGGTGTCCCCATCGTGCTGCCTCTTGGACTTGCAGCGCACGTTGCCCTCTTGCTTGATTTGGCCTCCTCCTTTGAGCTTGAGCTCGGCAAAGGCTTGGGGAGCAGTCCCAGCCCGCAGGCAAGTGACAGGAGTAAATGATGTGTCACACTCCACTCGCTCCTTCTTCACCTTGCACAGATCCACCTGACGCACGCACTGCAGGGGTTCTGCAGCCGGTGGATCCGGGGAGCCTTCACAGCCCAGCTCCTTGTGTTGACCCTCCATGGGGACAGTGGACACCTCTGAAATCACCCGTGGGTTCTGCTGCCCAGCCACGGGTAGATCATGCGACAAATATGCCGCCAACACTTGGTTTTTAGGCTTTGCATCCAACTGTTTGAGGTTACAGCTCCCCTGGGGAGCTTCAGTCTGTGTGTTGCTCTCCTTACTGGAGTCAACCTCTGGTTGATCACCCTCTTGACTCTTCTGAGGGTTGTCCACTTTCCCCTTCCCTCCTTTCACATCCAAAGCACTGGTCTGAAGAGATGAACCTGCATCCAACGGGATTGGATTGGGTGGTTCCTCGTAGAGCTTGGGTAAGGCCCGACAGGTCTTGCTCTTGGCTGCAGTTTCCCGTTCCTGAGGTGGGAGCCTGGGCAGCCCCTCTGGCAGGCTCTGGGCGGCTGTGTTGGACTCTGTGGGCTGCACGCTCGGGAATGTCGGGAGCTCACCTGCACCAGTTGGCTTGCAGGAGCTGTTCTGGTTTGAGGGCAGTTGCCCTGTTGTGGAGATACCGATTGAAAGCAGTGGGGTTTGGTGATAAGGAGACCAGCCAAGAGGCAGAAGCTGAGGGTTGGAAGGTTTTCCATTCACGGGGCATCGCGGGTAGACGCTTCCCTGGCCGGGATTCCAAGTGGAGATATCCTTGGACTGACACAAAGGAGCTCCTGGAGTAATTCTGCCATGAAGAAGTCTCCTGGCAGGATCTTGCTGTCCTTCTGTGCTGACCTGGTTGGCTTTCTTCCCACAACTGGGAACACCAGCGCTACGAGGCTCTCCCTGATCGATGATGGAAATGGGTTCCTGCTTGGGAAGGTGGCGTGGGTCCCTGCTGAAGCTCACACCGGGGTCCTTGCTGAGCAGCAACGAGGCAGGTACCGGGTTGGCGACGCCGACGTAGGTGCCTGGAATGGTGCTGATGAGCGTGGTGTTCTTCACCCAAGAGCCCTGCTCGCCGTTGCGCAGGAACTCGGGGAAGATGACTAAAGGAGGGGTGGTGCCGAGACACGAGGTGACGCTGCTGCCCGTAGTCTGGGCAGCTCGCTGAGACTTGGACAGGACGGTGGTGAGAAGAGCTTTGCCGCTGGTGTGCACGGGTGTGAGGATGGGCATGGGAGGTGTTTTACGTTGACTGGGTGGAGGCAGCTTCTGACGATTGGATTTGGAAGAGAGATCGAGAGGCAACTCGCTGCACTCTGGAGAGGAAACCATCTCACGTTCTAGCTGCGGAGGGGACTTCAGAGGTGAGAGGGAAGTGGCAGCTCCCGGTGCGGCGTGTTGTGGCTCGGGAGCAGGGGGCGCCGGGGGCTCTGGCGTGTGCCGCGGTGCCGGGAGAGGGAGCAGCGGTCCCGCAGGATGCTGCCAACGGAGGATGGTTGGAGGAGGAGAGGGAAGGGCCGGCAGTGGACTGAGGAGCACCCTCAGCAGCAGCCTGGGCACTGCTTCCACCTGAAGGTGAAGGGCAGCTGAGCTGATTCACCTCCACAGACACCACTTTGGTGTCTGAAGCCAAGGGTCTGGTGACGGAGAAGGTGTAAGGGTAGGAACGTAACTCTGGGGAAGCGATAATGCCCGGCAGGCAACGCTCATGTAGGTAGGAAGGTAGGACGGGGAGGGTGAGCGTGGAGGAGACTCCCAAGGTGGCTGGAAGTGTAGCCACGCTGAGGGGTTGCCCGCAGCTGGGTGGTGGGATGTACACCAACGACTGGCTCGGGCTCAGAACTGCCCCAGGTTGAAAGGACAGGGGCACTTTTTGCATAGCAGGGGCCTGAGAGGTGGGGAAACACACTCTGTTCAAAGTAAAAGTAGCAGGAGTGGAGGCAGAGGTGTTGCAGCTGGAGACGACCACAGACAATGTCCCTTCTGCCAGCACACCTTGTGCTCCTCCAGTGCTTGGGGTGGTTTTCTCCTTCCCAGGAGGCTCGGAGCAGGCTGGAGGAGCATCAGTCTGCTTGTCACCGTGAGGATCTGCAGGTGTCTGGGCAGCATCAGCACCACTGCTCTCCTGCTCTGGAGCTGTGGGGATTGTGGGCTCCTGCCCTCTGTCATCTCCCTGGCTTGGCAGAGGGCCCAGGTCACCATCTTTCACAGTCTTTCCCGCACACTCCGGGTTTGGGTTGGGATCAGGTGGTTGTTCTTCCAGTTTGGGTCCAAGCTTTTCCTCCACTTTGCCATCAGCATCCAACCCCTGGGCGCTGCTGCCACCACCGCTGACTGCTGTGAGCTCCACCTGCAATAAGGAAGGAGAGCACGTTCCCAGGAGCTCCTAAGAGCTGTTGCTGTTCCTAAGTGGTCCTAGCAAAGCAGGCAGAACCTTCTCCCAAACCCACCCCCCCAAGGACACAGAGGCAGAAGGGGCAAACAGCTCTTGCTGAACTAGAGCGTTGCTTTGCCTTACTGCACCCCTCGAGAAGAAACACATGGGACACATCAGGGTAGATGCTCTCACTGGGTCTGTTCCATCAGGGAAAGACCTTCTTGGACCCAGACACGCACGCAAGGAGCTCACCTTGGAAAGGCTGCTGCTGACACAAAACTCTTGAGACCCCAAGTGCTGGGAGCTGCTCGTTTTAGACTCCTCATCAGAAAGGGGGGCTCTCCTAGTCGAGGAACAAGACACAACATTATGAAACCCCAAGATACCCTCCCAGCATCTTAGCCCTCCCTGATCCCACATGGGAGAGCAGAGCAGCTGCCAGCCTGAGGAAACGTGCCTGCTCCAGGTAGCCAGCTCCTCATCACCACATGTTACACAGCAGGTAGTAGCCACTGCAGACTGAGGAGCAGTGAGGTGAGGAACACTGCAGTCATAGAGAATCCCAGACTGGTTTGGGTGGGAAGGGACCTTCAAGCTCATCCAGTCCCAACCCCACTGCCAGCAGCAGGGACACCTTCCACTAGACCAGGTTGCTCAAAGCCTCATCCAGCCTGGCCACAAACACTTCCAGGGATCCAGTCCTCCCCCTTGCAGAGCTCTGCCTGCTGGAGAGCACCTCTTCACACATAAACGCTTACCCTATGAGTCTGAGACATCTTTCTCCATGGCCCAGCAGCTCTGGGCACCTTCCTTACCCACAGCCATTTTGCCCCCCCTTCAGTCTCACAGAATCCCAGAATGGCCTGGATTGGAAAAGACCTTGAAGATCATCGAGTCCAACCATGAACCCAACACTGACCAGTCCCCGACTAACCCATGTCCCTCAGCACTGTGTCTACACGACTCTTCAATCCCTCCAGGGATGGGGACTCCACCACTGCCCTGGGCAACCCCTTCCAATGCCTCAGAACCCTTTCAGCAAAGAAATTCTTCCTCACATCCCATCTCAACTGCCCTGGCCACAACTGGAGCCCATTTCCTCTTGTCCTGTCCCTTGGGCCTTGGTTGGACAGACCCACCCCCACCTCTCTCCACCCTCCTCCAAGGGAGTTGTGAAGAGTGAGATGACAACCACACATTTCCAGCCCCATCCTCTTCTGAGCTCCATCCTGCTTGTCTCTTCTTCCACAGGTACCTCTTCATTCCTGTTCCTCCACCTCCCAGCCACTCACACTCCCTGCCCTGGGACTCCTCAGCCCTCCTCTCCTCCATCCTGAGGTGAAGATCTCCTCCAGCATCAGAGCTCTTCAGGCTCCAGCTGCCCATGATGGACACCCCGGAGTGTGCAATGTCCTGCCAGCCTGCACATTTGACCCTTTCCCTTTGGAAAACAGTTCTCGAGGGGATTCAGGATCGTGATCCCCATGGAAAGGGGATGCACTGAGGAGAGCTGCCCTTGGGATCTACGAGGAGACCGGAGAGGAGCCAGCGCCGGCGTGCTCAGAGCCCTTCCTGGGACACTCCTGTCCCCGACAGCATTTACCCGGTGACAATTCCCTGGTCTTTAAGGGGTTTTTTCTTAAGAGAAGCTGCTGGAATCAGGATAAAACAGCTCAAGTTTAATTTCTGCTGAGGATGGGTTTGCTCCTCAGGCTTTTAAGATACGGGAACAGACACAAGCTTCCTCCTCA